CTTAGTTGGTTCTGCTTCTCTTCTAAGGGCAAATAATCAAATTTAAGTGTGGATAAAAACACCCTCCTTACAGAGGAAGAACAGTCACTAAGGTGGCTGTAGAGGAGCCTCTCTCCAGGACCTGTGCTTTAAGCCATTTGAAAATGTGTGAAATGCCTAAAGCTGAGCATTTAAAGAATTAGAAAGATGCTGAAGGAGAGTTTTATTGGAGTTCAGCAAATGGAAACAACTCAGCAGTTTAAAGATGACGAGCCAAGAAAGAAAAGCTGAGTGCAAGGCAGCAGGATATAGAAATCAATGGATCAGAGATTAGATGTGAGAATTCCAAATCGGGAAGTAGTATTTAAATAAGCTGGTAGGTCACTAAATAGTTATGGCATGAGGTCCTTTTAGCATAAACAAAAACCAAGCTGCCATGTTGGATTCATGGAAAAGCCCCGTGGCTGTCACAGGTACCCTCAAGGCCGAACTGATGGAACGGAGGCTCACTTAATAAAACACTGGTGCCTGCTACTGTAAGAGTTAGGCCTTTTGAATTCCGTTTTGTTACATTTTATATCACCCTCCCATGCCCACCCCATAGCATGTCCCAGAACTTCAACAGTGAGGACCGCCACAGCTATGGCTCATGGAGAGCTGACAATGTCAGGCACAAGGTGAAGTGCATTTCTTACACTTCCCATTTAAACTTCAAAACAAGCCTCTGTGAAACAACTGACTTTATCATTCTTTACAGATAATGAAGCTGAGATTTAGAGGTGCTAAGTCACTCGCCAGGGTCACACTTTTAGGAGATAGGAAAGTCAAATTTATTTCATATCCTGGTTTCCTAGAACCTGCATTTTTAACCTCTTTATGTACTGCCTTGGTACATAAAAAGGTTAAAAATTACCAGTACCTTGGAAATTGGTAACTTCTAGTGGTACTACCCTCTAGCCATGGAGCTGATTTGGTTCATTAAATTCCTTTTCAAAACATTTTAGACCAGGGAACATTGTTTATTTTTCTCCATTTTTTCAAACTCCTCAATTGATTGTTTTCCTTTAATCTTAATATTTTCTAACATGTTAGAATTTTGTCTTCCTTTCCCAAACTTTATATTTAGAAGCACACTGGCTAACCTGTCAGATTTGGTGACCTGGAAATTTGAATTTAAAAAAAAAAGAGAAAAGTATACACCTATATGTACAGAAAGATAGATAATACAGAGAGACTTCTTTTTCCTAGATAGGCACTTTCAATGTTTGGAGTTAAGCAAGCTCTAAGAGATTGAGCTATATTCAATAATTATTCATCTTTGCTCCTCTTGCTTCCAATGCTAGATCAGTTTCCAGCTGTAACCCTTAATTCTGTTTGTCAAGTATCCTCAATATGCACAAAGACAGCATAGTTCGATGATAAATGCTGTCATTGCAGGTAATGTTTTTATTGAATTCACTATTTAAAGTCAAAATATGTCCCTAGTATCATTATTACTTCTTGATAACCCCAGAGAGCTTCCTTTTAAGGTAAATTGCTTATGTTACCCACATTCACCCTCTCTTTCTCCATATGTATATGAAATTGAACACATTTCTAGAATTCTTATGTCCCAAGTTATTGAAATTTAAATGTTTAAAATTCAAATTGCATTACCAGTTACATGTGATGTAATTTATTACTTAAAATATGAATCAATTGCCCAGAAATATATCAGCATTAATGTTAGGTATTTTCTGAAAGTCATGCAAATACAAGTAACCAGGCCATTACTAAGTTAGATCTGCCAGAGACTTTAAGACTTTTAAAGTGTATCTCATAAAATGTGTGTCAAAAAAGTTAGGTTATATTAGAAAAGTCTATGCATTGCAAACATAAAATTAAAAATGAGAAAGATAAAGTGGGGGAAAACCAGGATCTCAAAAGGAAATATTCAACTAAACTACCAATTCTTGATTAAAAGGGGGTTATTTTTTAAATCAAATATGTATTTTGGTGGTGAGTAAATGTGCACTCTCACTTCTAGCACAAAGATGAATAAATAAGCCACAGCTCTTAGGCAAGTAAGCTCTACTGCTACTGATAGAAAATCTGATTTAGAAATTTTAAGAGTAAAATTTCCCCTGAGATAGTGAAACTGAAAATCAGCTATAAGCATATTAAATACCTTAATTAGGGAGTTTGGGGGGGGTGTCAGCTTCCACAGCTCATCAACAGATAGTTATTCAAAGTGATTATCTGTTGGACCCTTTGAGAAATTCATTGAGAAAAAATGTGATCAGAGTTGGTAATCTATTTTAGGGAAAGTTAACTAATACACACTGATCTAGGGTGTGAGTTAATATATGTTAACAACTTAAAGCAGTGCTTTGTATATACTAAACGTTACATAAACATTCACTGTTAATTAATAGTAATAACAGTAGCAGCAAAATTCCCTGGGCTGACCATGTACATACAAGGTGAGCACTGATAAGAAAGAAGAGTGTGGCCAATGATAAGGAGAGGCTTTATTTTATTTTATTTTTTTTCCCAGAAAGTTGTTGTTTTTTGTTTGTTTGCTTTTTTGTTTTTTTTTAAACAGAGGTACTGGGGATTGAAGCCAGGACCTCGTGCATGCTAAGCATCAGCTCTACCACTGAGCTATATCCACCCCTCCAGGAGAGGCTTTAAATGAAGGAAAGCTTGAGTTGATTTTCGAAGTTTATCGGGAGAAAGAAGAAAGGGAACTGCTGAACAAAGTAACAGAGACGAGAAGGAAGAGGGAGGGAACCTTATTCAGTACTATGTTTGGGACACTTGTTCCTTACTCTTCTCATTATCACCTCTGAATTATGGGGTGGCTAGTGTGACAGCTTGGCTATAGAAGTTGTGCATGCTGACTGGTATTTGGGAAATGAGGTTGAAGTGGTCCATGTGGGTCCAGATCAGTAAGGGTCTTAAATTCTTGGCAGACGAGCTTGCTTTTTAGAGAAGGCCATGGAGGGCCATCATAGATTCTAGAGTATAGAAGTACAGATAAAGATTCAAGTTCAGGCTCTAGAGTTAGGAGTCCTGGACTTGAAGCTGAGCTGCTCTCTGTCTCTGCCTGCCTAGTTGCTTAACTTCTCAGTTTCAGTGGTCTTATTTGTAAAATGGGGATAGTGATAGTATTACCTGATTCTGTATGAAAATGAATGCAATGTATTGAGCAACCGCCTGCCACAAAGCAAGCATTCCCCACAAATGGCAGCTGTTATTAATTAAGAGGCTAAGGTTCCAGGTGACAGGGCCTACATGGTGATAGGGCCTACATGGTGATAGGGCCTAGTTACAGATGCACGGGTTGGGGAGGAGCAAGCCACTCTAACATGCTTGAAGAAAATGTTCATTGGGACACTCTGACTTCAATAACTTTGAGCTTAGTGATAATTAATCTAAGATATGAAATTCAAAACAGAGAAGTTATTACACTGAGTTTCCAAGCATAAAAATGTTGCGACTCAACATGATTTCAAAGTTGGAATTATCAAACCAATATATCACTGTGATAATGTATTCACCTGTGTCTTTAAATTACTTTTACTCTGTTACCAAAGCAAGAGTTTAAGAGCTCAGAAGAAAAGAGCACCTAAAATCCTTAGACTGAATCAGAAGCAACTTCAGTAGGCCTGGGAATTCCCACTTTGCAGGGAAAAACAAAAAACCCAATTAACAAAAGACTGCTGAATGGATAAACATCCTAACTGTGGAGATGATTCAGTTACAGGCCAAACTTTTTATAATCCCTTGTTTGTATGTTTAATGGGGCACTGGCCACCAATGTCCCTCGAAAAGCTGTAACACATATGTGTGCCTCTCCTCAACACTGTTCTTGGGTTACAGAAGACAGATACCAAATCACACTCATTCCTGTATTCCCCACCATTATGGAACAAATAGTAGGTATTCCAATAAATGCTGAAACAATGAATGATGGGGACTGAATCTTTACTATTAATACATTTGTCATCTTTATATACTAGTATCAAGAAAGCATTTTAGATACCCAACAGCTTGGTACCATAAAAATTAAAATTGAACTTATTTAGATGTTCATCTTAATCTCATTTAATGTTATAGTGATACAGAAAATAAGCAAATAAAGATTCCTTTCCTTTTTAAAAGAAGAGTTTGGGACTAACAACCACGTAAATAATCATACTTCCAGATTTTTAAAAAAAGTACGTATGGTAAATAGGTTTTATTATAGGAAGCTAATCCTTGGGATCAAATATTTGAGTTTTCAGTTTGCTAAACCAGAAGCGTTTACAGGTCAAACAATGTGCAAATCCTATCACACACACGAATCTTTTAAGAGGACAGTCAACCCAATATTTGATGTGTTTTATTTTATTATATGTTCCCTGTGCTCCCCTACTCCAGCCTACACCCTCTCAAAAAAAAAAAAAAGTGTGTAAGTCTGTGTTAAGTACCCAATAAAGGCAGGCAGTCTTCGAAGACGAAAGATAAAGCATATTTCATGTTTTCCACTACTTTTCCTCTCTCGAGGGAAAACAGTGAAAAGGGAAAGGTGAAAACACCCTCAGGCTCTAATTAAATAACAAAATGTGCATCGTTGTGAAGCAAATGACCACATGACGTATACAGGGCAGCTGCATCTTTACACACGTCATTAGGAAGAAAGACAAGTAAAACAAATGATAAGCGCTCTGTTTCTTGATATGGCTTGGAGATCTGAAAGGTCGCCCCAGACCACCCTTGGGAATTATAATTAAACAATCGTGCTCTCGGCTCAAAAAGTTCACATCCCCACCGGACTGCAAGCGGCAGGGCATTCCTGAAACGCTGCAGTCCGTGTCTTTTCTCTACTAGAAGAAGTAGGGAAAAAGAGACCAGGCGCCACAGAAAGAGTTCAAGCCCCAAGGCTGTCAATGTTAAAGTTCCAGAAAACCGTTTCCACTCCCAACTCGTTCCTGGCAGAGCAGTTTGGGTAGCGCGCGTCCTACCGTCCCGGATGGGATCCGGAGGAGGATACTTACTGGGCTGAGCCAACTCTGCTCTCTCTCTTGCCGAGCACTTTGGCAGACTTTGCGTCGTCCACATCTTGCTGTAGTTCAGTCATCAGGGCAGCGTCCGGAGGGCACCTTCAGACCCGGGCGCGCAGACAGCCTCCTCCTCCCGCTCCCCCGGCTCCCACCGTCCGGGGCGCAGGCCCAGCCCGCCCGCCGCGCCCTCCCCTGCGCCCTGGGGGCTCGGCGCATCCGGGCCGCCCGCGCCGCGGGCCGCCAACCTGGACACGTTCGAGCCGGCGCGATTGGTCCGAAAGCGAGCGGGGCAGAGCCGCGAGGGAGGGAAGAGGAGGGTCGAAGCGAAATGACAGCCTCTTTCCCCAACCCGGGAGGGGAGAGGAAGAGAAAAAGGAAACCTGTTGAACTAGTCTTTCTGGGAGAGGAAGCTAATTGGCCAAGCAGGTGAAACATTTGCCTATCCAGGCGCCGTATAGAAAGCCCTGGTAAACTGGGCTTTTTTCCCCGCTCCTCTCTACTCGGACGGTAACTAGACTTGATAAATGGGCAACCAGCTGTAGATAAAGGAAACGATACGACTAAGTGAGGCTCTCTTGCACAGATGCACCGTGAGGTCTGGCCTGTGCCTCAGCCTAAATTATTCAAAGAGGATGTAGCCTCATTGAGGGCTGCCTGTCAGGGCTTAAACAATAGGTCAGTTTAGTAACAAAAGTAATCAAGTAGTTGCCTGGTTAATCCTTCCTAGGTAGGGGCAGAGCAAGGATGGAGAAGCAGTCCTCAAACCTCACCAGCATCTTACTTCCTAGGCACCCAACCCATAAAACAATGCCTCTTCTTCCTGCCTTGCTGGTTTTGTCTTAAGGTTTGTATTTGAAGCACCACTTACTAATTTAAGGAACTTTGTTAGCTACCATCTTCCAGGCATTATTCTAAACATCCACTTACTATAGTGAGGGAGGAGAAAAAAACTTTTCCTCTGACTGTCTAGGTTCTTCCAGCTGGTCTAAGAGTTAAACTGATGCAACATAGATTAACAGTTGAGAAAACCAAATTTAATTAACTGCGTACAGAGGGCCCAAGGACAAATTACGCAATTGATGCCTATATGTCACCTGAGACAGGAGAAGGGGTCAGGGGTTTGGGACTTCAAAGAGAAGGAAGGCAATTTACAGGAAGAAGGAAAAGAGCAAATGTTTGGTTAAAAACAAACAAAAAAAAGTCTGCTGGGCCATATAGAAACAATGGGACACAGAGAGGAATTGTAACAAATAGACTTCGCTATGTTCCTCCTTGCTTATACAGGGAGTTCATATTACACTGTAGTTATCTATAGTGATAGCTCCCTTCCTGGGACAGGTCCTCTGTCTGAATTTTTTAGGCTCTTATGGGAAAGGTCAGAGCCTTTTGAGCTTGATTGTTTTTAGCTTGAAGTAATCTGCATGTCAAAGAGATAATTTTGGGGTGGAAAATTTTGCTCCCCTACAATAGCAAATAATGTATGTGTTGGTAGATTTCTGATTTGCTACAAAGTAGTTGAGAATGAGAATAACTAATATAAAATCTTATTGTTGGAAGCCTAATTTTAAAACAATTACAAGTATCTATAGCTGAACCTGACATGGCGGGGGAAAAATTACTGACTCTATGCTCTGGGGGTACCTTCGTTTTTTTCTTTTAAAATTAATTTTTTATTTAAGGATAATTACAAGGAATATGCAACCATAATATTTACGTTGTGAAGGAATAATATCGCCTTCCATATGAGTAAACAAAGGGTGTTGCAGCCATCAAGCCATCAGCCACTGCAGCCTCCCCAAGTGTGCATCTTGAGGGGATTCAGGATGAAGAAAAACAAGGTACTGGCCCTAAGGTAGTTAAGGTGCTTATCAAAGGAATGCTTTCAGTAAGCCCAGACTCTTGCATCTTCCCATATATAGAAAAGTGCCGAATTAATTAACATGAGATGTCTGGTTTTCTTTAATTAATCTTTTGATGTTCCAACTACCTGGTTTTTTGTTTTTGTTTTTTGTTTTCAATGACTCCTGTATATCCTGGCTTCTCCCATACCTCTTCAGGACAGTCCCTCAGATCTATCTGAGAGGCTGTCTTCTGGGCTTAAGTCCTTAGTATGTCTGCCAAATAAAACATAATTCTCAACTTTTAGGTTGTGCATTTTTTTTTCAGTTGACATTGTGTGTGTGTGTCTGTGTGTGTGTGTAAAAGAAAATACCTACCCTTCTAAATAACCTCAAACATTTTGGAGATGCAAGTCCTTTCCAAAGTTTTCTTATTACGTCTCTGCTTACTAGCTTGTTTATTTGGCTGAGAGAACAAAAGCATCTTTTGTAACCTGCTTGCTCCAAAATTGACTCACATGACTCTAGAAAATAAGTAAAAGAAAAACGTTTACAGAAATTCCATTTGAGTTGGTCTGGTCAGGCTGCTCTCTGTCCACCCCCCCCCCCCGTTTTTTTCCTATCTGATCATCAATGACCCCCTAACTGCAGAAGCCTGGCTGGGCAGGGTGGCGAAGGCTCTGGGTGACCTGAGGACTTGGAAACTGTCTCTTTAGCTATCAGTTCTTGGGGATATTACTGATGCCTTCAGCCTCCAGATCCCTTCTCTAGTTCACTATTGTACTCAGGATGAGGGTGGACTTGGAATATAGAGGAGGTTGTCCCAAACTCTGGGCAGTGACTCTCTCTTTAAAACTCAGATGCCCTTCAAGCCACCCTCACTGCAAAACTCAGATCAGAAATCACTTTTTTTGGTCCCCTAAGTAATTTTTTTTTATTGTGGTAAAATATACATCATGTAATATTTATCATTATAACCACTGGTAAGTATACAATTTAGTGACATTAAATACATCCACAATGTGTGTAACCATCACCACTTTCTATACCCAAAACTTTAAAAAACCCAAATAAACTGTAGCAACTCCACAATAACTCCTCCTTCCCCACATCCTCCCAGACCTTGGTAACCTCTGTTCTACTTTCTGTCTCTATGAATTTGTCTATTCCAAGTACCTCATATAAGTGGAATCAGTCAATATTTTCCCTTTTGTGTCTGGCCTGTTTTACTAAGCATAACATTTCCAAGTTCCATCCAAGTGGTAGCATGTATTAATCCCTCATTCTTTTTTATGGCTGAATAATATTCCATTGTATGTATATTCTACATTTGTTTTCCATTCATCTCTTGATTGAAACAATTGATTTGTTTCTATCTTTTGGCTATTGTGAATAATGCTGCTATGAACACTGATGTACAAGTATCTATTTGAGTCCCTGCTTTCAACTGTTTGTGGTATATACCTACAAGTGGAATGCTGGGTCTTACAATAGTTCTATATTTAACCTTTTGAGAAACCATGGACAGCCTCCTTTGATGCATGAGTAAGAGCAAGTGCTTATAGCTTCCCCAGTATGGCTTACAACTCAATTAAGGAGCACTCAGTTGTCCTAAAATTTGTTCTTCTGTGTATAGGATGAGGACTTCCAGGAGTGTGGTCTTAAGTGAGAAAGGGAGAGAAAGGTGGGGGGTGGGGTGGGGTGAGGGAGGATTGGAGAAGGGTCTAGTGGGGAAAAAAGACAATAGTCCTTTCCTAGAATGGGGAATTAGAAAGGAAATAGTAAACTACATTATTTTATTTAGTGGCATTTGCTTAAGTTTAAAAGACATTATCAAAAAGCTTCCTAACTTGTTTATTCTTGGGACTATTATACAATAAAATGGAATGTGGTACTTAAAAGGTAAAAGACAAATGACAGAGGAAACTTCACTGTAGTGTGATAAAATAGAGACATAAGATTATGTCTAAAATATATTTTGGAGAACTTTTTGCTTTAGTACCAATAAAAACCCTACCCTTTATTCTTCTTCCTCCAAGCCTATGAGAACATAATTTCTTCTTTCTAACATCAAAGAAAAGTACTAGCTGATACTTTTCCCAGTTATTGAAGCAGGTCAAGTAGAAAATGCCTAACCTATCAAGAGGTGGGGGCTTCTATCAACAGCTTAGAATACTGTAGATAGGGAATGTTGCCTCCCATTCCAGTAAACAAACTATGTTCCTAGACATTCCATTGCTACAAAGACCAGGCCATTAGCCCTGGCAGGTGCCCACTGGTGGTGTGCCCTATGGGGAATTCAGGATGGAGAAAACCAAGAAGCTTTCTGTGCTTTGGATACTGGCCCTGGATATTAGATAGTTAAGATGCATATATAAGGAATAATTTCAATGAACCCAGATTCTTTTATCTTCTCATACACAGAAAAGCACTAAAAATCATTACCTTAAGATGTCTGTTCTTTGTGATTAGCAGTTATCTTTTCATGTTCAACTACATGTTTTTTTTTTTCCAGCAGGAAACTCTTATATATCCTGGCTCCTACTTCTCCTCTTCAGAGAAGTTCTTCAGCGCTGTCTGAGAGACTGTCTCCTGGGCTATTGTCCTCTGTAAGATCCCTGAATAAAACTTAACTTGCAAGTTTAGGTTGTGCACTTTTCTTCGATTGACAATATTGATCAAATGGTGGTCTCTTTTTTAGATTGATCCGGTACACTGAGCATCTGTCCATAGTCTCAGGGGCAGAGTTCAAATATGAGTTTGGAGATTTGAGTGGCTATCTGGTTGCAATGTATGGTCAAGTAGCTAACTAATTTGTAACACAAAACATGTGTAATGTTTAATATACAACATCATAAGTCCAAGAATTCCAGGAATACTCCTGTTTCCCAGGAACACTTCTGACCATTCCTGTTTTCAACTGAAGGTCACTATGCAAAGGAGAAAATGGGAAAAAACTGAGAGAGTCCAGAAGAGAGCTCTACAATGACACTGAAGAACTTAATTATAAGACTTTTTTACAAGTTGTAAGAATGAAAGTTGTGAAGCATCATGTAAAAGGGAACTTTATTGAGTGGTTTCTGTCAGAAATGAAGGAAAGTTTCCTAATATATTCAGCTGTTAAGCATTGGAATGGGGATCTGTAGTAGGCTATGGACTCTCTTACTCTAGAGGCCTTTGAAAATAATATCTTACAAAAGAATCAATGAAGTAAGCCAGAAAGAGAATTGAAGTAAGCCAGGAAGAGGAAGAAAAATACCATATGATATCATTCATATGTGGAATCTAAGAAAAGAAAAAGGAAGACACAAATGAATTCATCTACAAAACAGAAACAGACTCACAGACATAGTAAATAATCTTATGTTAACTGGGGGCAAGGGGGTGAGAAGGGATAAACTTGGAAGTTCAAGATTTGCAAATATTAATACTATATATAAAAATAGATAAAAAACAAGTTTCCTCTGTATAGCACAGGGAACTATATTCAATATCTTATAATAACTTTTAATCAAAAAGAACATGAAAATGAATATATATATATACATGTATATATATACATGTGATAGACAGAATGGTTTTAAATCAGTATTTCCCAAGCCACATTATACTGCAGATGGAGAAATTTGAAATACTCTTATTTCTCTCTCTAGGGAAGAGGCCAGAACCAAATTTTGCACCTGTGTCGAGA